TCACCTGATCCAGCCCTAACTATAGCAAAAAGGAAAGTTTTAAACCTAATCTTAAAAGTAGAGATAGTGTCTGTTTCCCAAATCCAAACTGGAATAATTCCAGTTCTAATAGTTGCATTGCATTTCAGCAGTGTGTGTATGTTGAGGCAGATCCTGACCTGAAGTCCTGTCAGATAATCAAACTAAACATGTCTTCGAAGTGTTAAAGGCGCTGCTGGTAACAAGAAACAGACACCTGGAATATGTGGTGCGGGATAGCAACTGTCAGTGTTCCGTCAATCATAACAGCTGTATTCCAGGAAGAGGGCAGAAAGCCCTCCTCCCTCTAACCTTGCTAAGCATTTTTGCACAATAACAAAGCCGCAGGCTCTCAAGTTTTACATGAAATCCAAACGTGACCCCGTTGTCTCGTTCAAACACAGTCCTCACTTAGGAAAATCCCCTTTGATCTGAATACCTAGCAGTGAAAACATCCCTGTGAGTTGTCTAGGTGTTTTTAGTGTGTGTGTGTGTGTGTGTGTGTGTGTAGGGATTGATGTTTTGGAAAGAGCACGTATTTTTTGTCATGCAGACCGAATGCTAACACAGCAGATGTGGTTTGGGGTACATATGATTAATGTATGCAGATATCAGAAAACTGACTAAAATATTTATGGCATTAGAATCAAAAAGCTAGAATACATGACACAAACACATGCACTGCCTTTTATGTTGAGTACAATGAAGGGCATTATGGAAATGGAAAAATGAGGCTGAATGAACAGGGTGAGATGGGGAAGAAAGGACGTGGGCAGTTTGTTTGCACAACATGTTTTTTTTTTTTTAATTATTTTATTTTCCTGCGTGCCCTTAGGCCTTCTTTCAGGGTGGTCCTTGCCTCCACCTCTTCATTTTCTCTGCCATCTTTGGTGAACTGGGGAGCTCACTTTCGGTTGTTAATGGCACACATGCGCACAGGTTGTGTTTTTTGGCCACCCCTGTGGAGGTAAAGTATTGCACACGTTGCACAAAGCTCTACGAAGCAGTAAATGGAGCAGTAAATAGTTGCTTGGCTGTTCAGAGTTTAGTACAAAATCAGGTAGTGCTGAAAGTGATCCAGGGAGCGTGTACCTTCGCAGTGAGGGATGTTACTACTTGTTTATCTGCAAGTACATAGTGATAGTGTAGGTAAAGTGCAAGTAATCTTTCTGCTGTAAAAGGATTTAAAGCACTCCGACTTACAGAAATTATGGTTGATTGTTGGGTTTTCTCTGTATTATCGTAGGGTCTTTACCTTACAATAGAAAGTGATTTGAGGCTTTGAGATTGTGATTTGGTGATATATAAATAAAACGGCATTGAAATATGTTTTTCCATTGCTGGCTCAGGAGTTAAATATTTTCTGTTATTGTCATCGTTAATTGCAGTTTTAGTGGTATTACATGCACAAACGGAGGAAACATGTTACTCCATGTTAGTCTCCCCATCACCCTCACTTTTTCTGTTTATCTTTCACCCCAGCCCCCCTTTCCTCACCGGACTCTCCTGTAGTATAATCAGATTATGTGAGGAATGTGGGAAAGTGTCTGTATATTCAGTGTCAGAGCTGCTCTCTAACAGTCAAGCAGCAATAAAGATGAACCGTGGCTGCACTGGATACAAACATCTATTGATTTTATTGTCATAACGCTGAGATATTAATATGAAGAGCATTAATGCTTTTTGCCAGCTACCTGCACCATCATCTGTTTTTGTTTAGTTAAATGCTTGTGGGAATTGTGATTACATGTGGTATTCAGACCTGTTTTGAATAGACCCTCCAACTCGGGCCCAGTGGCATGGGATAGTGGAAGAAATTTTTGGAATGGAAAGACTTACCTTTGTCCTTAGACTTGAGCTTGAGAAATTCAAGAAGCTCTGGGAAAAATGGATTGTGTACTCCCTTTGTACTGAACAATTAAATATTACCATGATGTAAGTAGATACTAATGTTGAGACTGTGTATGTCTTCCATGCTGACCTAAAGTTTTGTATTCTCGTACTGTAAATTAATAAATAAAAGTTATTTAAAAAAAAGACCTGTTTTGAATACTTCATGACTTATGTCTGTTATAAAATAGCCTGAAATAGTCTTAATGGCATGTGACATACTAAACTGCTGTGACATTTGGCACATGGGTTAGCCATTAGGCCAGCTTATCTCCTGTGCCTGTTGCTCAGATATCGGTTAAGCTGATTTCATGTGATTATATGGAAACACGAACATATCACAGCTTGCTTGGAAGCAAGTCCTGTCTGTATGTTTGATGCTAATGTCTCCCATAAAGATTAGTGTACATTTTTTTGTGTGTCATGTAACACAAGTTTAACTTTTCAAAGTCACTATAATCAAATGAAGGTAAGGGTCAGCGTTATTGGTCATTTAGTTTTGAATAGTTTTGAACAAAATGTGAATGTTTTTGAAAATTCCAGACTTTTAAATTCATACACAGTTGTTTGGCTTGTAGTTTAATTACTTCATCTTCAGTTCCTCGTGCCTCTTTTCTCGTTTTGGGCCTGGAGAAGTGGATTAAAGTCAGGTTCAGTGTCGTCACTAAGGCTACGTCCACACATGCCCGGGTATTTTTGATAACGCAGATTTTTCTATGCGTTTGCACCTTTCGTCCACACGTAAA